TTGGTGTCAATTGCCCCAGTGGTTTCTGAGTTCTGTGAATACCACAAACGAACATTACATTTTTATTTATATCGATGATTTCCTGGAGTCCTCTGGATAAAAATCACATTTATCTGTTGACACCACTGTTGCTAAATGCGTAGGAGCCCCATCAGAAAAGCATTTGGCAACATTACCTAATCAACCCCCCTTCCTAATGCCGCGACCCCTTAGTACAGTTCCTCACGTTGTGGTGACCCCSAACCATAACATTTTCATTGCTACTTCGTAACTGTAAGTTTGCTACTGTTATGAATCGTAATGGAAATATCTGATATGCAGGATGTATTTTCCAATACCAAATGCCCAATATGCCCAAGTTTGAATACTGGTGGGGTTGGGGGGGGGGTTGATTTTGTCATTTGCGAGCTGTAGTGGCTGGGATTTATAGTTCACCTACAATCAAAGAGCATTCTGAACACCATCAATGATGAAATTGAACCAAATTTGGCACACAGAACTCCCATAGCCAAGAGAAAAWACTGGGAGGATCTGGTGAACATTGACCTTGAATTTTTGGAGTTGTAGTTCACCTACATCCAGTGGACCCAAACAATGATGGATCTGGACCAAACTTGGCACGAATACTCAATATGCTGAAATGTGAACACTGGAGAAGTTTGAGAAAAATAGACCTTGACACTTGGGAGTTGTAGTTGCTGGGATTTATAGTTCACCTATAATGAAATAACATTCTGAACCCCATCAACGATAGAATTGGGCCAAATTTCCCACACAGAACCCATGACCAAGAGAAAATACTATGTTTTCTGAAGGCCTTTGGCGACCCTTCTGACACTTCCTCACGACCCCCACAGGGACCCCGACCCCCAGGTTGAGAAACACTGCCCTAGATGCAGAGGTGGCCCTAGGTAATTTTCAACGGTAAGCAAACAGTATTTTGCACCCCCCCCCCAACCAATCATTGATATATATTTTCTGTTCATCGTGGGAGTTCTGTGTGCCATATTTGGTTCAATTCCATCACTGGTGGAGTTCAGAATGCTCTTTGATTTTAGGTGAACTATACATCCCAGTAACTACAACTCACATATGTCAAGGTCTATTTTCCCCCAAGAATACCTCAAGAGCGCCCCTGGCAACATCAACTATACTGCGAATGCTTACTTTGCGTAATGGTTGAGCCGCCCCTGCCTAGACCACTACATGCCATTCACCGTAGTAGTGGGAAAGATAGATATTTCTATTTGAATACGGAAGCAGCTATTGAAAAAGAACACCAAACACCAACATCTTCAGAAACAAATGTATTTTCTTCATAAATACAGTACAGTTCCCATTATCATGAGGCGATACATTCTAGACATACTAAACACACCTATACAGGTTGAGGAGAGGTCTATTGAGGCACCGAGCAAAGTGGAGACGTCTTGGGTTCCGCAAAGTCCGAGAAGGTTGGCAGTGCAATGGTGATGCAGAGCTGCTCCCAGGCCTGGCACTCCAAAGCCCATCGTCCACAGACTCTGGAAACCGGACTACATTGCTTTCCTTTGCTCAGGCTCTGCAGCGCCGCTCCGAGTAGCCGAGTTCGTGTTAAACTCTTAGTCTAAACGTTTGGTTCGGGCACAAACGAAAACAAACAAAAGCGCTCGTCGCAAGTTTTATATTTCCTTGTCTCGATTCCAGTATAAAGCCATTTACAGAAATGGGGGAAAAAGGGGGAAAGTGTGCAGTTTGGCCTTCCTTACGCTGTTTCCATGGACATGAAGTCGAACATGACCCCCCCCCCCATAAGAGATAGTAACTTATAGTTTTGCTAAGGGCAAGGACGCCAGGCTGGATAATAAGGGTTAAGCCTTGGTCAGTTTGATGTGTATCATTCAATCAAGGCTTTATGCTCTATTTGCATATGTTTACAGCAGAAAATAACCAATTTATTACTGGAAATCATGCCACAAAAGTATTTTTCCCACCTGAGGCACACCTGGGCTCCTGAGGGTCCCCCATCTCACAAACAAGGGACTCATGACTATATTTCCCTTTATGGGCCTTCCTATGAATAATATGAACTATGGACATTGGGGGAAGGTAGTTGGGTTTACTCTCTGTATTATGATTTCTGTATTTTCATATTTTTCTCCTGTATTTCTATATTTCCCTTCATGTATTTGACCTTGCCCTGACCCTTTTGCCCCTTCCCCTCTCCTTGGGGGAAATCTACAAGGAAGCTGCCCTGCCTCTGGAAAAGCAATCAGCGATCACGAAAAGACCCTTCTCTTTGGACATTCTTTGCATGGACAATAGTAAAGGAAATCCTTCTGACTTCGGAGTTGGGCCACCATTAGGATTTCTGTTTGGCAGACTTTTTAATCATATAACAATGGGGGGAATATGACCTTAGGAAAGTCCTCTTTTGCTCCAAGCCATTTTTCTTTCAAACTTTTCCATAAAGAACTTCCACCCAAGTCTTCCCCTTTGTGTCATATCTGATGGCGACAAGAAAACCCGGATTTCTTTAACATATGTTTATTGCCTTCACTCATGAACACAATAGAATGGCTTGGCTGGCAGACCCCCAACCCGGATCTTGCTAAACCTTGGGGACAATTTTGTCATAATCCACTCCAGAATGCATTGTCTCCCTTCATCCCGCCTCCCTCCCTTCTGATTCGCTGGAGCGTCGAGGCAGCAGGAGCCTCCTGATAGGCTCTGGTGCACCGCGAAAGCCCTGTGATTGGCCCTGATGCATGGGGGATGGTCAAGCCTCCTCCTAGCTGTTTGCACATCAGCCAATCCCCTTTGAGCTGGGTGGGAGGGGGAAGCGGGAACTCACAACTCTGTATTTTCTATAAAAATGGCCTTTACTTCTGTAACCACATGCTCTGCTTGGCGAATGATTGCTGCTCTGCATCCTTTTCAGCTGAATCGCAAATAAAACATCTCGATGGCACTTCCTTCAACTTGGCGAGATCTTCCATTGGGAAAAATCAGGGATTGGGTGCTTCTCTCTGTCTCGCCAGGGTAACAAACTCTTTAAGGAGTCTGATTGGTCTCTGCCTCCTGGCAAAGACCCCTAAATTCCTGCTCTATAGCAGACAGAGCTCAAACTCAAAGGGACTGGATTGCATCCTACAGCAAGTCTTTACCAACGGAGCTACAAAAACCACCCAAAGCTTCCCCAAAACAACTGCAAATTGGTGGTGACCTGAAGCAGAGGAATTGCATCAAAACCGGCGACTGTGAGGCCAGCAGAAGGCACTTCTTAGCAGAAGGTTGTTCCCATACCAAGTGTGCAAAAAGCATGCCTCGGACACGCAAGGCTCATGGTTATTTAATGCACAAATTGCATTAAATCATGTTGCAATCCTCCCATAAATGGCGTTCTGACTCTAAATCCATTCCAGCACATTGCAAAGAAGGTCGCTCTTGGGTTTGCTTTAGGAGCAACTCAGCCGACATCTCCCTGGCTTTTGAAGGACACAAACAGTCATTGCAATCTGTTAACCCGAATAGTTACTGCATTTCCTTCTGAAATATTATTATTAACTTCTCTCCAAGAGCCATACTTTCATAACAAAGCCTCAACTAGATCCCTGGAGATACACTCCAGACATCTCCCTGGCTTTTGAAGGACACAAACAGTCATTGCAATCTGTTCAGGCAGCGATGAATTGTTAACTCGAATAGTTACTGCATTTCCTTCTGAAATATTATTATTAACTTAACTCCAAGAGCCATCCTTGCATAACAAAGCCTCAACTAGATCCATGGAGATACACTCCAGACATCTCCCTGGCTTTAGGAGGACACAAACAGTCATTGTAGTCTGTTTGTAGCCTGAACGACTGTTGTGCAGTCATTCAGGCAGCGATGAACAGTTAACTCGAACAGGTACTGCATTTCCTTCTGAAATATTATTATTAACTTTTCTCCAAGAGCCATCCTTGCATAACAAAGCCTCAACTAGATCCATGGAGATACACTCCAGACATCTCCCTGGCTTTTGAAGGACACCAACAGTCATTGCAATCTGTACAGGCTGCGATGAACGGTTAACTCAAACAGTTACTGCATTTCCTTCTGAAATATTATTATTAACTTATCTCCAAGAGCCATCCTTGCATAACAAAGCCTCAACTAGATCTATGGAGATACACTCCAGACATCTCCCTGGCTTTTGAAGGACACCAACAGTCATTGCAGTCTGTTCAGGCAACGATGAATGGTTAACTTGAACAGTTAATAATATTTCAGAAAGATATGCAGTAGTAACTTCTCTCCAAGAGCCATCCTTGCGTAAGAAAGCCTCAACTAGATCCCTGGAGATACACTCAGGACATCACCCTGGCTTTTGAAGGACACAAACAGTCATTGCAGTCTGTTCAGGCAACGATGAATTGTTAACTCGAATAGTTACTGCATTTACTTCTGAAATATTATTATTAACTTCTCTCCAAGAGCCATCCTTGCATAACAAAGCCTAGATCCATGGAGATACACTCCAGACATCTCCCTAGCTTTTGAAGGACACCAACAGTCATTGCAGTCTGTTCAGGCAGCGATGAACGGTTAACTTAAACAGTTACTGCATTTCCTTCTGAAATATTATTATTAACTTCTCTCCAAGAGCCATCCTTGCATGACAAAACCTCAACTAGATCCATGGAGATACACTCCAGACATCTCCCTGGCTTTTCAAGGACACCAACAGTCATTGCAGTCTGTTCAGGCAGCGATGAACAGTTAACTCAAACAGTTACTGCATTTCCTTCTGAAATATTATTATTAACTTCTCTCCAAGAGCCATCCTTGCATAAGAAAGCCTCAACTAGATCCCTGGAGATACACTCCAGACATCTCCCTGGCTTTTGAAGGACACAGAGTGATGTTCAGGTAGCGATGAATGGTAACAGCAAACTCCGCTGTCGTTTTTTCTGAAGGTTTAGTTCCTGCAACGTGGGTCAACCTCGTTTCAAGAAAGGGTTGTCTATCCGCCCGCAAAGAAAGATAAGACATTTCAGGGAAGCCAAGGCATGGAGAAGAACATCCTTCAATGGTCCTTGAGCACAAACTGGTTAACTCTAACTTTACGGGGAATGGAATGTTTTGGGAAGACATGTACATGTATGACATCCATATTATAAACGTCTAAGGCACTCTAATTAGGCTTGGTCCAACTTAGGTCTTCCCTCCAGGTGTTTTGGACTTCGACTCCCACCATTCCTGCCAGCCTCAGGCCCTTTTCTTTCCCCCTTCAGCTGTTTAATCCCACCAGGACTCTTCCGACTCTAGGATTCTTTGATTCTGTGATCACTGCTATGTAGCGGGAAGCCAGTGGAAGCGAACGAGCAGTGCCAGTTGTCAGTAGCTCATCAATTGGTGTTGTGGTGAACGTTATTCTGTTTTTTGGAGACTTTGAAACAGAGGCTGGATGGCCATCTGTCAGGGGTGCTTTGAATGTGATTTTCCTGCTTCTTGGCAGAATGTGTTTGGACTGGATGGCCCACCAGGTCTCTTCCGACTCTAGGATTCTATGATCACTGTTGTGTAGTGGGAAGCCAGTGGAAGCGAATGAGCAGTGCACGTCGTCAGTAGCTCATCAACTGGCATTGTGGTTATGGTTGGAGATGAATGTCCAAAACACCTGGATGGAGGCCCAAGTTGGCCCTTGCCTGAACTACATCTTCAATACAAGCAGAAGAGGAAAGTTGTCTTCTGGAATGAGCAGATTACAATCAAAGCATTTCGGAAAAGAAGGAGGGGCAAATACAGCATCGGAAGAAAGTCTCTTCCAGCTCCACTCCTTCCTTTGCACCTTCCTTCCTTCCTTCCTTCTCCGTCCGCTCAACGGAAAACAGGAATGCAATCCCAATGGGACAAGGCTCATGTAGCTTCAGATCCGAAGCGCTGAATGGAGGCCATGGCTCCTTCCCCATCCAAGGCCTTTGGTCTTTGAGGAAAAACAGCAAAACTTGGAATATTTTGCACAGGGAATTGAACGACAGCAACAAAAAGGCAGGAATGGAAGAAAAGAGACATCTACTTCGGAGGCACATGGTGGAAACTGAACATCATGCACCAGCATTCTCTGATCGGCTACTGAGTCCATCTGGGAGAGAAGGCTAAAGGCCTTGGGAAACTATGAGGAATGTCCGGAAAGTAAAGTTACAAGGCATGTAGGGAATTTTTGTGGGGGAAGTTAGTATCATTAGGAAGAACTTCCCGATTATGAGAGCTGTTCAGCAGTGGAACTCTCTGCCCCGGAGGTTTTGAAACAGAGCTGGATGGCCATCTGTCAGGGTTGCTTTGAATGTGCTTTTCCTGCTTCTTGGCAGAATGGGGTTGGACTGGATGGCCCACCAGGCCTCTTCCGACTCTAGGATCCTACGATTCTGTGATCACTGCTGTGTAGTGGGAAGCCGGTGGAAGCCAACGAGCAGTGCCAGTCGTCAGTAGCTCATCAACTGGCATTGTGGTTATGGTTGGAGATGGTTATGGCTGTGTAGTGGGAAGCCGGTGGAAGTGAACGAGCAGTGCTATTCACCAGTAGTTCATCAACTGGTGTTGTGGTGAACGTTAGAGATGAGCGTCCTCATTCCATTTTTGGAAGCTTTGAAACAGAGGCTGGATGGCCATCTGTCAAGGTTGCTTTGAATGTGATTTTCCTGCTTCTTGGCAGAATGGGGTTGGACTTGATGGCCCACCAGGTCTCTTCTGACTCTAGGATTCTATGATTCTGTAATCACTGCTGTGTAGCAGGAAGCCAGCGGAAGCGAACGAGCAGTGCCAGTCGTCAGTAGCTCATCAACTGGTGTTGTGGTGAATGTTAGAGATGAGAGTCCTCATTCTGTTTTTGGAGGCTTTGAAACAGAGGCTGGATGGTCATTTCATGTCATTTCATTCAGTGGTTTTTGAGTTATGCTAATCCCACAAACGAACATGACATTTTTAATTATATAGATATTCATTATTCGTATTTTTTTTTAAAAAAAATATTGTAACCTTAAAGTAATGGGGAAGGTTTTGTGTGTGTGTATATGTGTCCAGTCCTGTCCGATTCTGGAGGTTGGTGCTCATCTCCATTTCTAAGCCGAAGAGCTGGCGTTGTCCGTAGACACCTCCAAGGTCACGTGGCTGGCATGACTGCACGGAGCACTTGTAACCTTACTTTCCGGATTTCCTCGTACAACTCCCGGATTTGCATAGCATTGAGTTAACAGTGTTGCCAAACTGCATTAATTCTGCAGTCTAGATGCGCATCGTCTGACTTTTGATGGAAAAAGTCATAGGAAACCTCACAGGAAATCTGCTACAAAACAGGAGCTTTTTTGTTGAGAGACCAGAGCCAGAGAATGCTGTGACCGTTGAATGTATTTCTGGAATGTTTCAATTTTTTTTACAATGTTTTGCTCTTTTCACGTTGACGAACGTGGCCTTTCCTATTGTGAATATTTGCAGAAGCGAGAGCACCACGGTTTCCGCCGAAGAATTGCGAGGAGACCAAAAGGCCTTTTTGGAAAGGCACTAAAAACATCTAAAAACACAAGTTATTCCTTTTTAAAAAATACTGACATTTTTAACAAAACTGAGTGCATTTAAGACCGGGACTGACTTTCATCCAGATGCGACCAGATCCAGTATTTTTTTCCTTCTGTAATGATTTTGGAACAAATTATAAGTTAACCTGTCCATACTTTTTTGAAGTATATACAAACAGCGCAAGGCTGTAAATATTCCTTTATGACTCGGTTACTAAAAAAAAAAATGGCTATTTTTGTTATTTATGTATATGTATATATATATATAAAAAAGAAGGGTAAAAGGAGAATCAGTTCCGGCTTGTCTTCAGATGAGATACTCCACCATTTCTCCGTCGCTGAGGTCCTGCCCCACGTTTTGAGCCGGGTTCTTCCTCTCGAGGGCATTGGGATGGAAAGCGGAGGAGGAGGAGACGTCTGCAAAGCGAAAGAAGGAGAAAGGACGGGAAATGAAAGAGAGGAAGACTTATTTTGCATAGAATTACGGAAAAAAAATAGACCCATGTCTCAGTTCTTGTGGGTTTTTTCGGGCTATATGGCCATGTTCTAGAGGCATTTCTCCTGACGTTTCGCCTGCATCTATGGCAAGCTTCCTCAGAGGTCTGCTGGAGCCAAGTCCATGAGCAGACCTCTAGCTCATGGAAGTCCAAAAGCAAACATGTCTGTTTCCACAGCAAGGCTTGGATGATCTACGGAGGGAACAAATCAAGAACTTTGGTCCAAAAGTAAGGCGCTGGCTGCTGGAGCTGATGAACAACTGCAATGCATCCTGTCAGATCCCCAAAATCTGGAGGAAAGCAAGAGTCATCGCCATCTTGGAGCCAGGCAAAGACCGTAATGACCCAAAAAGCTACAGACCAATCTCCCTGCTGTGCCACCTCTACAAAGTTCTGGAGAGACTTATTTTGCATAGAATTATGGAAAAAATAGACCCATGCCTGATTCCACAGCAAGCTGGCTTCAGGAAAGGCAAAAGCTGCACATCGCAAGTGCTGAACCTGACTCAGCACATAGAAGATGGCTTTGAAAGGAGCTGAAGGAGATAATGCACCCACATGTTCCTGTCCTGGATGAACACCTCCAATGGAAGCACCCTCCCATCTTTGGTTTGCGTGCAGAAAGTAACAGCCGTACGATGCTTTACCTGCTTTGTCCGAGGCGTAGGCCAGGTTCGCGGGCGGGAGCCTGGCCTGCACCGAAGGGCTGGAAGCGGCTGCAGAGGCGGAGCCCTTGTTCTGGTCAGTCTGCGTGCTGCAGTCCCGGCTGCCCGTCTTGCAATGAGCGGACAGCAACGGCGTGGAAGGCATCACCGGCGACGGGGTGGAAGGGATGGACTCCGAGCGGCACTCTGTGCCCAGCAACACGCCTAGCGGGGTGGAAGGTATAACACATGTCTTGGCACACGGAAACACAAAGCTGGACGGGGCACCCAAAACCCACCCAAGACAGGGAAATGCTATGCAGCTGTTTCCGATCAAATCACCAGCAGCAATGATCACAGCAATGTAGTGTTTGTTTGTGGGATTAACATAACTCAAAAACCACAGGACGAAATGACACAAAATTTGGACACTATACCCCTAACTGACCAACGAGTGGCCATCACTCCTACCCCCCCCCACAAAAAAAACAGCAGAAAGAACTTAAAAAACCCAAAAAAGCTAAATGACAATAAAGAAAAAAAGGAAGGAAAAGGGAAGGAAGGAAGGAAGGGGAAAAAGAAGAAGAAAGGGAAAAAAAAGAAAGAAAGAAAGAGGGAAAGAAAAAAGCAAAGAGAGAAGGAAGCATGGAAGAAAAGAGCGATATAGGAAAAAAAGGAAGGAAGAGGGAAGGAAGGGGAAAAAGAAGAAGAAAGAAAAAAGAAGAAAGAGGGAAAGAAAGAAGCAAAGAGAGAAGGAAGCAAGAAAAAGGAAGGAAGGAAGGAGAGATAGAGAAGAAAGAAAAAAAGGGAAGGTAGGAAAGGGGAGTGAAGGAAGGAGGGAAAGAGGGAAGGAAAGAAAAAGAGAGATGGAAGGATGGAAGCAAAAAGCAAAGGAAGGGATGAAAGAGGTAGAGAAGGAAGAAAGGAGAGAAAGAGGGAGGCGAGGAAAGAAAGAGAAGGAAGGTTGGAAGCAAAAGGCGAAGTAAGGAAGGAAGGAAGGAAATAGGTAAAGAAGGCAGAAAGGAGAGAGGAAGGAAGGGGGGAAGGAAGGAAGGAAGAAGGAAGGAAGGAAGGAAGGAAGGAAGGAAGGAAGGAAGGAAGGAAGGAAGGAAGGAAGGAAGGAGCAACAGAAGGAGGGAAAGAAGGAGAGAAAGAGGGAGGGAAGGCTGGCAACAGCAACGCATGGCAGATACAGCTAGTATCTAATAGTATACTATCTATCTATCTGTCTGTCTGTCAGTCAGTTTGTCTGTCTATACTAGGCATGGGCAATCTATGGTTCTAAATGGTTCTAAAGTACTTACAAAACTAAAGTTCTGGTGGTGAAAACTAGGGGGCGCTGGTGCTTTGCTTCTACAGTGTTGCTAAAGTTCTGGTGGTGAAAATTTCAGAACTCTAACAAAACTTTCAAATTTCATTATTTCATTATTGGCGATTTTTATGACAGAATCAATTAGGAACTGCCATTTATAATGAAATTTTGAGAGTTTTGTTAGAGTTCTGAAATTTTCACCACCAGAACTTTAGTTTTGTAAGTACTTTAGAACCATTTAGAACCATGGATTGCCTGAGCCTAATATATATATATATATATATATATATATATATATATATATATATAAGGCTTGGGCGGTTTCGTTCGTTAATTTCATAATTCGTTATTAATTCGTATTTAAATTACCTTACGATCCAATATCGAGCCATGCAGGAATAGTGTGAGGAGTAATTAAGAATCGAAACAATTTTTCCAATTTTCATAATTATTTCGTAATTATTTCGTAATTATTTTCGCATGTCTGGTGCAAGTTTTATAGTTGTTGTTTGTTTTATCACACCAACAGTCAACAACAGAGGGAGAGGGACGCTTCAGAAGTTCCTCCTGTCCCATTTGGAGGTTTTTTTAGCATATTGCGCAATCGCGTCCGCCATTAACGAATCGATTCGTAATTTTACGAAATTTCGTATATTTCGAAATTTTTAAAAGGAAAATTTCGGAATTATTAAAAAAAACGAAACGCAAGGGCCCCCTAAAAACAAAACGAGTTTAAAACCAAATTTTTCCGTGGTTCCCCAAGCCTAGATTGAATCTTACCAAAATGAAAATGGAACTCAAATTATATATATATATATATATATTAGGCCTGGGTAACAACGGAAAAATTTGTTTCTAAAATCGATTTGTATTTGGGGGTTTTTTTTGTTTCGATATTTAAAATAATTACAAAATTTTCCTTTTAAAAAGTTCGATATTTATGAAATTTCGTAAATGGTAAAAAATTAACGAATCGATTTCCGAAACAATAACGAATCGATTCGTTAATGGCGGACGCGACCGCGAAATACGCTAAAAAACCTCCAAAACCTTCTGAAGCTTCCCTCTCCCTCTGTTGTTGACTGTTGGTGTGATATTATAATTTTTTTTCACTAATTAAACCATAAAACTGGCCCAGACATGCGGAAATAATAACGAAACGGCCTCAAAACAATAACGAAACGAATACAATATCGAAATACGAAGCATTTACAAAACGTTTTTGAAAATTCGTTTTTTTAAATAATTGCTCCAGAATGGTTCGTTATCGTTTTGTAATTGAAAAAATTAACGAATTATTAACGAATTACGAATTAACGAAACGAAACCGCCCAGCCCTGATATATATATACACACACACATATACATATACAATCCTCACCGCCAACAGACTCTGAAAATGGCATTAGCCACAGATGCAGGTGAAACGTAAAAGAGAATGCTGCTGGAACATGGACAGACAGCCTGAAAAACTCACAGCAACCCAGTGATTCTTGCCAGGAAAGCCTCCGACAACATATTAATGACACATCCTGTTTCGGTATGTTCTGGGTATGACGGAAACGCCATGCTCACCTAGGCTGCCCTTCCAGCTCCTGTCCTCGCGCCTCTCCTCCGGGATGGGGGTGCTGCTCAGGGCGGAGGAGGAGGAGAGCGGGGCCGGACCCGAGGAGGAGGAGGAGGCACCCGCGTTGGAGATGGACATCAGCGACTTGGCTGGGCGCATGGAGGAGAGTGGCTCGGCCCTGCCGGCCTCCTTGCGGGAGCGCTGCTGCAACACCTTGATCATGGCGTCCTTCTCGATGATCTGCGCGTGGAGCGTCTTGATCCTGAAAGGGAAAGCCCTCCATTAGTTGCGACACCCCACCCCAGGTCTCATAACATAGGAATTGTGGGAGTTGAAGTCCAAAACACCTGGAGGGCATTTGAGACACGCGATTCTACATTTATTTGGCCAGGAGGGTCAAAGTAGATGCCTGTGTGCTTGTGTTGGATTTATTACACAAGTGGTTTGCTCTCTGGAGTCAGAGTAGTTTAGCTGTTAGAGAACTCTGTCTAGAGTGTAGCTATTTGCTCTGGGGACAACCGGGTTAGGTTTGTCTGGGGAACTCACTGCTACTGCGTCAGGGTAGAGTGAGGAGTCTTGCTCACACCTAAGTAACCATTAAGAATCTTGTGCCTCGTTAAAGAAGATAGTTGTTTGTTCAAATATATTAATAAACATTTCTCTAGTTCAACTTTTAAGCAGCCTCAGTAGTAATTCATTCCGTTAGAATAATTCCAGTGGTTTTTAACATCTTTACATACAGACAAGCATCCCGAGTTCTGAGGATTATTACCTGGGAAGGAATCCCACTGGAGCATTGCAGCGCACCCAAATACCTGGGAGTCACTCTGGACCGTGCTCTGACCTACAAGAAGCACTGCCTGAACAGCAAAAAGTGGGCGCTAGAAACAATATCAAACGAAAGCTGACTGGCACAACCTGGGGATCACAACCAGACACAGTGAAGACATCTGCCCTTGCGCTATGCTACTCTGCTGCTGAGTACGCATGCCCAGGGTGGAACACATCTCACCACACTAAAACAGTGGATGTGGCTCTTAATGAGACATGCCGCATTATCACGGGGTGTCTGTGCCCCACACCACTGGAGAAATTACACTGCTTAGCCGGTATTGCACCACCTGACATCTGCCGGGAAGTAGCAGCCAATAGTCAAAGGACCAAGGCAGAGACATCTCCAGCTCATTCCTTTTTTGGGTATCAGCCAGCACGTCAACGACTTAATTCAAGAAATAGTTTTCTAAGATCTACAGAGACACTCGCTGGAACACCCCAGCAAGCGAGAGACCAAAAGTGGCAGGCCCAAACCCAGCACCTCAATCCATGGGTGATACCAGATGAGAGACTCCCCCCTGAGCACACAGAGGACTGGGCGACTTGGAAGGCGCTGAACAGACTGCGCTCGGGCACCACGAGATGCAGAGCCAACCTCAAGAAATGGGGCCACAAAGTGGAATCCACGACATGCGAGTGTGGAGAAGAGCAAACCACTGACCACCTGCTGCAATGCACCCTGAGCCCTGCCACATGCACAATGGAGGACCTTCTTGCGGCAACACCAGAGGCACTCCAAGTGGCCAGATACTGGTCAAAGGACATTTAATCAACTACCAAACTCACAAATTTTGTATTTTGTCTGTTTTTTTTGCGTTGTTCTGTTAGAAATGTAATATAATTGACTGGTTGTCCTGACACGACAAATAAATAAATAAAATAAAATAAATAAAGTTAATAGAGTCTACTTTAGTCTACCTTCTTTCCCTGTGTTGCTCTGTGGTATACTCTTTTTCATTGTGAATGAAAAAAAAGAACATTTTAAATGCTTTTTGATGTTTAAAAAGTATTTTTCACCATGGTTGGAACTGTCTGTTCTGTCGTGCGCTGGGCCTGTAACAGCTGTCTTTTCTATAGGACGTATACTTTAAGACCAGCGGAAAGCCAGGGCGCCTCAAAGAGAGGTTCTCAGGGATTTTTCTGGAGTGATGGTCTTTAGAGTCTTTAATGATACAACAAAGTCTTTATTATGGAACAAACAACAAATCTTCAATGGTTCAAACAACACTTCAAGGCTTTCTTAGTCTAGTCCTCAATGGACTGGTACCTGACTTTGATTAACTGTACTTTCTCTGTAGGAAAAAAAAAACCCTATTTAACCTCTCCCAGGCTGTTTACTATCTATGCCTCATCGGTGTGGGTCCTACTACCGATTCCAAATGCGTCTGGGTATCGAGTAGACCTACCAGCCGAGGCTTGAAGATATTTCAGCTGGAGTTCCGTGGATCTGTAATGCTGTCCTCCCTCAGAGAATTCTTTGAAAACTTCAGGGCTGTTTTCCCTCTGTTTCCTGTGAGGCTGAGAGGCTGTGAGCTCTCAGCCAGGGCCTTGGGACCTTTTCCCTGGAATTTCTGTTTCCGTTTCCCCGGATGTTCTTGAGAAAAGAAGCTTTTCTACGGGACGAGCTGATCTACGTCCTATAGTTTAGCTTCCTTATGTGAGACTGCCCAAAAAATGGCTCCTTTCCCTCCCAGAGCCCTGAACAAGGGGCGGAACCAAAGCTTAATTATGATTTACAGGAGGCCTGCCCTATGACTGCAAACAGATAACAGAAAGAAAATAAAGTTGGAGCTCCTGGTACAGCCGTACCAGCACACTGTCCTTGCTGAAGAATGGAAAAAAAGCGGGGTCTGACCTGCCCTCCATGTCCAGGCACCTTCGGTTGGCCATCAGGATCTCCTCCTCTTCCTTCTGGATGCGGGCCTCCAGCGAAGTGTCATAGCTGGCGCTGGGCGAGTGGCCGATGGCCGTGGAGGTGTCCCTGTGGCCGGAGGAGAAGAGCGGTCAGTCACAGAATAATCATAGAATAATAGAGTTGGAAGAAACTACATGGGCCATCTAGTCCAACCCCATTGCCATGCAGGAAAAGCACAATCAAAGCACCCCTGACAGATGGCCACCCAAGGCCACCCAAGGAAGAAGCTTTCCAGGATGAAGAGGAGGAACCATTGAATGGTACTGGGCCCAGGACCAAACCCTCTTCATAGCACCCAAATAGTCACTTCTTTCCAGGATGAAGAAGAGGAACCATTGAATGGTACTGGGCCCAGGACCAAACCCTCTTCATGGCACTCCACTAGTCACTTCTTTCCAGGAGGAAGAAGAGGAACCATTGAATGGTACTGGGCCCAGGACCAAACCGTCTTTACGGCACTCCACTTGTCACTTCTTTCCAGGACGAAGGAGAGGAACCATTGAATGGTACTGGGCCCAGGACCAAACCCTCCTTACGGCACTCCACTAGTCACTTCTTTCCAGGATGAAGAGGAGGAACCATTGAATGGTACTGGGCCCAGGACCAAACCCTCTTCATAGCACCCAAATAGTCACTTCTTTCCAGGATGAAGAGGAGGAACCATTGAATGGTACTGGGCCCAGGACCAAACCCTCTTTACGGCACTCCACTAGTCACTTCTTTCCAGGATGAAGAGGAGGAACCATTGAATGGTACTGGGCCCAGGACCAAACCCTCTTCATAGCACCCAAATAGTCACTTCTTTCCAGGATGAAGAGGAGGAACCATTGAATGGTACTGGGCCCAGGACCAAACCCTCTTTACGGCACTCCACTAGTCACTTCTTTCCAGGATGAAGAAGAGGAACCATTGAATGGTACTGGGCCCAGGACCAAACCCTTTTCACGGCACTCCACTGGTCACTTCTTTCCAGGATGAAGAAGAGGAACCATTGAATGGTACTGGGCCCAGGACTAAACCCTCTTCATGGCACTCCAACTTGTCACTTCTTTCCAGGACGAAGGAGAGGAACCATTGAATGGTACTGGGCCCAGGACCAAACCCTCTTTACGGCACTCCACTAGTCACTTCTTTCCAGGATGAAGAAGAGGAACCATTGAATGGTACTGGGCCCAGGACCAAACCCTCTTTACGGCACTCCACTAGTCACTTCTTTCCAGGATGAAGAGGAGGAACCATTGAATGGTACTGGGCCCAGGACCAAACCCTCTTTACGGCACTCCACTAGTCACTTCTTTCCAGGATGAAGAGGAGGAACCATTGAATGGTACTGGGCCCAGGACCAAACCCTCTTTACGGCACTCCACTAGTCACTTCTTTCCAGGATGAAGAGAGAGGAACCATTGAATGGTACTGGGCCCAGGACCAAACCCTCTTCATAGCACCCAAATAGTCACTTCTTTCCAGGATGAAGAGGAGGAACCATTGAATGGTACTGGGCCCAGGACCAAACCCTCTTTACGGCACTCCACTAGTCACTTCTTTCCAGGATGAAGAAGAGGAACCATTGAATGGTACTGGGCCCAGGACCAAACCCTCTTCATAGCACCCAAATAGTCACTTCTTTCCAGGATGAAGAGGAGGAACCATTGAATGGTACTGGGCCCAGGACCAAACCCTCTTACGGCACTCCACTAGTCACTTCTTTCCAGGATGAAGAGGAGGAACCATTGAATGGTACTGGGCCCAGGACCAAACCCTCTTTACGGCACTCCACTAGTCACTTCTTTCCAGGATGAAGAGGAGGAACCATTGAATGGTACTGGGCCCAGGACCAAACCCTCTTTACGGCACTCCACTAGTCACTTCTTTCCAGGATGAAGAAGAGGAACCATTGAATGGTACTGGGCCCAGGACCAAACCCTCTTCATAGCACCCAAATAGTCACTTCTTTCCAGGATGAAGAGGAGGAACCATTGAATGGTACTGGGCCCAGGACCAAACCCTCTTTACGGCACTCCACTAGTCACTTCTTTCCAGGATGAAGAAGAGGAACCATTGAATGGTACTGGGCCCAGGACCAAACCCTCTTCATAGCACCCAAATAGTCACTTCTTTCCAGGATGAAGAGGAGGAACCATTGAATGGTACTGGGCCCAGGACCAAACCCTCTTACGGCACTCCACTAGTCACTTCTTTCCAGGATGAAGAGGAGGAACCATTGAATGGTACTGGGCCCAGGACCAAACCCTCTTCATAGCACCCAAATAGTCACTTCTTTCCAGGATGAAGAAGAGGAACCATTGAATGGTACTGGGCCCAGGACCAAACCCTCTTTACGGCACTCCACTTGTCACTTCTTTCCAGGACGAAGGAGAGGAACCATTGAATGGTACTGGGCCCAGGACCAAACTCTCCTTATTGCACTCCACTAGTCACTTCTTTCCAGGATGAAGAGGAGGAACCATTGAATGGTACTGGGCCCAGGACCAAACCCTCTTCATAGCACCCAAATAGTCACTTCTTTCCAGGATGAAGAGGAGGAACCATTGGGGAGAAGCAACTTAATCCATTACAGATCCACCTAATAGTGGTATTGCCTAACCCACATTGGACTAATCTGCTAGCAAGAAGGTCATGGGGGATTTTGTCAGAGGAAGGCCTTCCTGGAATCAAGATCTGCTCCATTCACAGCATTCCCTGCATCTACCAGTGAGAGATGGGCATCCCTGGCCACTGCCCACCTTGGCACCTGATGCAGGAGTCCATTCCGCTTACCTCTGCGCAGCCACGGAGGCCGCGGCGTCCAGGGCGAACTGGCGCATGACGCTCTCCTCCAGGTACTTCTGCTCCCACTTGGTCATGTCTGCCTCCAGGGCCAGGATGCGCTCCTCTTTCTCCCGCAGGAGCTCCATCAAGGCGGCCGCGTTGTACTCCGACGTGCCGGACGGCTGCGAGCTGCCTTGGCGCTGCGAGAAGGAAGGCGGACAGGGCCAGAGAGCGGTCAAACGACGGCACAGCGATGCCCAGGCTGCGCACCCAAGGAGACGTGCTATCCCATTTCACTGATCTCAGGAGTCAATTTCTGACGGCATGAAGACATCACAAATTCCCTCCATGACATCCTGACTAATTATCTTGACTGAATCAATTCTCTCTGTGACATTCGGAAGCCAGCAAATGGTGCTGGAAACCATGTTATGGAACTTGTGAAGCAACAAGTTCTCATAAGTAAACTGAGAAGAGGGGGTGATGGGCAGGAAAGGTGTATAAAAGGAAGTGGTGGTGGGGAAAAGTCAGTAGTGTCTTTCTTTGCTGCAGAGATACAAGCAATATATTTATTTCAAAGTAAAACCGGCTTGTGAGTGATCATTTAATATTGCTATATAAAACCTACAGTCTTACAACTGATTAATTAGAGAAGAACTGAATGCTTTTGATGGGATCCGTTGGCCCTCCATACCCACTGATTCCGCACTCACGGATCTGACTATCCGAGTATTTAATATATTGGAATGTTGCGTAGGGGCGGAGGTGAAGGCAGCACCGTCACAGCTCTGTAGTTCAATATATTGTTCAAGGCTTTCATGGCCAGAATCACTGGGTTGTTGTAGGTTTTTCGAGCTGTCTGGCCATGTTCTAGAAGCATTCTCTCCTGACGTTTCGCCTGCATCTGCGGCAAGCATCCTCAGAGGTTGTGAGCTCTGTTCGAAACTAGGAACATTGTGTTTATATATCTGTGGAATAATGTCCAGGGTGGGAGAACAAACTCTTGTCTGCTGGAGGTAGGTGAGAATGTTTCAATTGGCCACCTTGATTAGCATTGGATGGCCTGACAGTTTTTAGGCGTGGCTTGTTACTACCTGGGAGAATCCTTTGTTGAGATGTGATTGTTTTTTGTCTGGAGTTCTCCTGTGTTTTGCATTTTGTTTGTACAGTAAATAAAAAGGTGTGGCTTGTTACTGCCTGGGAGACTCCTTTGTTGAGAGGTGATTGTTTCTTGTCTGGAGTTCTCCTGTGTTTGCGTTTTGTTTGTACAGTAAATAAAAAGGTGTGGCTTGTTACTGCCTAGGAGAATCCTTTGTTGAGAGGTGATTGTTTCTTGTCTGGAGTTCTCCTGTGTTTGCGTTTTGTTTGTACAGTAAATAAAAAGGCGTGGCTTGTTACTGCCTAGGAGAATCCTTTGTTGAGAGGTGATTGTTTCTTGTCTGGAGTTCTCCTGTGTTTGCGTGTTGTTTGTATAGTAAGTAAAAAGGCGTGGCTTGTTACTGCCTGGGAGAATCCTTTGTTGAGAAGTGATTGTTTCTTGTCTGGAGTTCGTTTGTGTTTTGTTTGTAAAGTAAATAAAAAGGTGTGGCTTGTTACTGCCTGGGAGAATCCTTTGTTGAGAGGTGATTGTTTCTTGTCTGGAGTTCTCCTGTGTTTGCGTTTTGTTTGTACAGTAAATAAAAAGGTGTGGCTTGTTACTGCCTAGGAGAATCCTTTGTTGAGAGGTGATTGTTTCTTGTCTGGAGTTCTCCTGTGTTTGCGTTTTGTTTGTACAGTAAATAAAAAGGTGTGGCTTGTTACTGCCTAGGAGAATCCTTTGTTGAGAGGTGATTGTTTCTTGTCTGGAGTTCTCCTGTGTTTGCGTGTTGTTTGTACAGTAAGTAAAAAAACAAAACTCAAACACAGGGGATCTCCAGACAAGAAACAATCAGGAACACCTAATCGCCTCTCAACAAAGGATTCTCCCAGGCAGTAACAAGCCGTACCTAAAAACTGTCAGGCCATCAAATGCTAATCAAGGTGGCCAATTGCAACATTCACACCTAGCTCCAACAGACAAGAGTTCTTTCTCCCACCCTGGACTTTCCACAGATATATAAACCCAATGTTCCTAGCTCCCAACAAACCTCACAACCTCTGAGGATGCTTGCCGCAGATGCAGGCGAAATGTCAGGAGAGAATGCTTCTAGAGCATGGCCATACAGCCCGAAAAACTTACAACAACCCGGCTCTGTAGTTTGTTTGTTTGCTCTATCACAAACCAGTAATTGCTGCTCAGTATGTGAGCCCTTTTTGCTGCATCATTTTATAGTTTTAGTGCTTTATGGTTTCACTTTGTCTTAACTTATATATTTTTACAGCTTCGAGTTTTATAAGTCTTATAACCAGCGACCCACAGCTTAGCTGATACAAGTGCCTGCAACAACTTCACAACTATGTCTCGGAAGAAGAGGCTCTAAAATGGATGCGGTATTTACAAGGGTTGAATGAAAAGTAATGCCTCCACCTTCGTAACTCCTCAACAGATGGCAGTACTGGTATGCGGCAGGTACTGGCTTGTTCTGTAGACTCTTCTCTACAGTTCCATTTTGGTGGGAAGCCTTAGCATTGAATGGTTGTGTTGCTAAAGTGCGAAGTATGGAACCCTGCGCAGATGGTCGGTCAATGCGACTTAAGCAACGTGCAGTCATTGAATTCTTGACAGCAGAAGGTGTCACCCCAAAGGAGATTCATCAGAGAATGCAAGCTGTTTATGGTGATTGTGTTGATGTGAGTACTGTGTGTCATTGGGCGAGTAAGTTTAAAGATGTTGAGGTGACACCTTCTGCTGTCAAGAATTGCTTAAGTCGCATTGACCGACCGTCTGCACAGGGTTCCATACTTTGCACTTTAAATCACAAACATTCAATGCCAAGGCTTACTGCCAAAATTGAACTGTAGAGGAGAGTCTACTGAACAAGCCAGTACGTGACATATACCAGTACTGCCATCTGTTGAGGAGTTACGAAGGTGGAGGCATTACTTTTCGTTACATTTGCGGTGACACCTTCTGCTGTCAAGAATTCAGTGACTGCATGTTGCTAAAGTCAGATTGACCGACCATCTGCGCAGGGTTCCATACTTCACACTTTAACAACACAACCATTCAATGCTAAGGCTTCCTGCCAAAATGGAACTGCAGAGGAGAGTCTACTGAACAAGCCAGTACCTGCCGCATACCAGTACTGCCATCTGTTGAGGAGTTACAAAGGTGGAGGCATTACTTTTCATTCAACCCTTGTAAATACCACATCAATTTTAGAGCCTCTTCTTCCGAGACATAGTTGTGAAGTTGTTGCAGGCACTTGTATCAGCTAAGCTCTGGGTCGCCGGTTATAAGACTTATAAAACTTGAAGCTGTAAAAATATATAAGTTAAGACAAAGTGAAACTATAAAGCACTAAAACAATAAAATGATGCAGCAAAAAGGGCTCACATACTGAGCAGCAATTACTGGTTCGTGATAGAGCAAACAAACAAACTACAGAGCTGGGTTGTTGTAAGTCTACTGAACAAGCCAGTACCTGCCGCATACCAGTACTGCCATCTGTTGAGGAGTTACGAAGGTGGGGGCATTCCTTTTCATTCAACCCTCATAATATACAGGCCATCCCTGCACATATACTGGCCACGGTCCAGTAGCATTCTCTCCTGATGTTTCACCTGCATCTGTGGCAAGCGTCTTCAGAGGTTTGTTCAGAGGTGAGGCAGGTACAATGTGTGTGTACCCACATATTCATACACACACACACATGTGGAATGATGTCCAAGGTGGGAGAAAGAACCCTTCTCTGTTTGACACAACCAGAAACTACATTTACAGCCTGGAAAGCTCACAGAAACCCAGAAACTACATTTCTCCGGCATCTACCAATCCACAGCAGGGTCATGGAGAGTCTACAGTATATAGGGCATTGTTTATGATGGGGCTTGAGCATCTACAGCAGTGGTTCTCAACCTTCCTAACGCCGCGACCCCTTAATACAGTTTTTAGTGTTGTGGTGACCCCCACAACACTAAATTTGCTACTGTTATGCTACTGTTATGAATCGTCATGTAAATATCTGATAGGCAGGATGTATTTTCATTCTCTGGACCTTGGGAGT